ATATATATATATATATATTATCCGTGTATTTATATATAATAACATAGTTTGTGTTTCTGTGATTGATAATCTTTGCAGCGGAAGCTGACAGAAGACCTCGAGGAGAAGCATATCACTGTGAGTTGATTGTATCTATATTTTACGATTCATTTACTATTATTATTATATTTTGGATAGTTCATAACATATAATTTGCAGGAATCTCCTGGTGAGAAGCAGCACAGTTGTATTCCTGATGAACACTATGTGCCCACATTGCTTTCAGTAAGTATAGGTACTATTTGTCATTTTAGTTTGATAGTTCTCCTTTTGCATACGAATTGTTTCTGCAAGGCTTATATCACTGATGAATATTTTTATAAGCTGACAAAGCTTAGAAAAATATAGGAAGTAAATATTACCAAAATTTCTTGTAAAATACAGATAAGGGAGCTTGAAGATGAACTGGAGAGAAGAACACTGACATACACTTTGTGGAACAATTCTAGGAATGAAAAGGACAAGCGAAGTTGGCACCCTGTTACATTTCAGTATAGTAATGCAAGCCCCAAGGAAATTGAAAAAATAAAGGTATTTGCTGTTTTTCTAGTACATTTGGTTAGGGCCTCACTTTTATTTTGGAAGATTCACATACATTTCACTTAATTACTATGTATTTACATATCTAACATTTCAGCTTCAATTTTTACATGCATGCTACCTTACCTATACATGAAAAGGTTTATTTCACTATTTGAAGGTAGAAAGATTTGGGTTTTATTATGTAAATACATAGGAATTGGGTTGGGTGATATGCATGTAAATGCCCTTAAATATGTTTGTTGGTATGTTTCTAAACTATGTTTATTTTAAGTTTTAAAAAATTAATTAAGTTGTTTTTAATAACATTCAAAATAACTTGGAGGTTTTTTATTTATTTTTTAAATAAAAATTATAATTGGCTGCTGCCATCATTGTCTGCCGTTGCAGCTGCTGCCATCTCAAAAATCATTTTATTCAATTCTGAAAGAAAGAATTAAAAAAA